GAAACAAAAGGAAAATGGAAAACAAACAGGTGTGGCAACATAAAACAAACATTTAAATGAATCCAAGAGACTGGGAAATCCAGGGACGGAATATAAGAATAAACCCAGAAACCCAGCATAAAGAAAACCAGACATAGAATATAAAACCAGAAAACCAAGAAAAATTAAATAAGAATTATAAAAATGGTACTGGATATCAGAAGCCAAGGCCAGACATCTCCACAGAACAGAGCAGGATGTGACACATTTGCACTTTAGAGAATAGCCCTGCAAGTATGCAAACAAATTTAAGTAAGAAAAGTTCTTGTTTTTTGCAAATCTTTATTTGTGTGAGTACATGACAGCACAAATCAGCCAAAGGAGTCAGGTGACAGGTAACCTTAGAGCAAGGTGAGTGAAAGGAAGGACAGGAGGAGGATGGTACAAGGTTGAGGTAATGAAAAAGGGGAGAATAAAGAAAGTGGGGGGGGAAAAAGAAGTTCCAAGTTTTTTGACTATTAGAAAATATAACTATAAATGTACAGTGCCTTGCAAAAGTATTCACCCTCCTTGGCATTTTTCGTGTTTTGTTGCCTCACAACCTGGAATTAACATGGATTGTTTGAGGATTTAAAGATTTTTTTTTTTTATTGTGAAGCAAACAACAAATAGGATAAAATAACAGAAAAAGTAAATGTGCATAACTATTCACCCCAGTAAAGTAGAAACTTTGTAGAGCCACCTTTTGCGGCAATCACAGCTCCAAGTCACTTTGGATAAGTTTCTATGAGCTTGCCACATCTTACCAATGGGATTTTTGCCCATCCCACCTTGCAAAACTGCTCCAGCTCCTTCAGGTTGGATGGTTTGCGCTTGTGAACAGCAATCTTTAAGTCTGACCACAGATTTTATATTGGATTGAGGTCTGGGCTTTGACAAGGCCATTCCAGCACATTTGCATGATTCCCCTTAAACCACTCAAATGTTGCTTTAGCAGTGTGTTTGGGGTCATTGTCCTGCTGGAAGGTGAACCACCGTCCTAGCCTCAAATCACGCACAGAGTGGTACAGGTTTTGTTCAAGAATATCCCTGTATTTAGCACCATCCATCTTTCCCTCAACTCTGACCAGTTTCCCAGTTCCGGCTGCTGAAAAACATCCCCACAGCATGATGCTGCCACCACCATGTTTCACTGATGGTGTTCTTTGCGTGGTGTGATGTGTTGGGTTTGCACCAGACATAGCGCTTTCTTTGATGGACAAAAAGGAACATTTTAGTCTCATCAGACCAGAGCACCTTACTCCATACATTTTGAGAGTTTCCTACATGCCTTTTCGCAAACTCAAAACGTGCCAGTTTGTTTTTTGCTGAAAGTAATGGCTTTCTTCTGGCCACTCTGCCATAAAGCTCAACTCTATGGCGTGTACGGCTTATTGTCGTCCTATGTACAGATACTCCAGTCTCTGCTGTGGAACTCTGCAGCTCCTCCAAGGTAATGTTAGGTCTCTGTGCTGCCTCTCTGATTAATGCCCTCCTTGCTCTGTCCGTGAGTTTTGGTGGGCGCCCATCTCCTGGCAGGTTTGCTGTTGTGCCATGTTCTTTCCATTTGGTTATGATACATTTCATACTGATCCTGGGGATCATCAAAGATTTGGATATTTTTTTATACCCTAACCCTGACTTGTACTTCTCAACAACATTGTCCCTTACTTGTTTGGAGAGTTCCTTGGTCTTAATGGCAGTGTTTGGTTAGTGGTGCCTCTTGCTTAGGTGTTGCAGCCTCTGGGGCCTTTCAAAAAAGGTGTGTATATGTAATGACAGATCATGTGACACTTAGATTGAACACATGTGGACATCATTTCACTAATTATGTGACTTCTGAAAGTAATTGGTTGCACCAGAGCTTTTTATGGGCTTCATAACAAAGGGGGTGAATACATACACACATGCCAATTTTCTGTTTTCTATTTCTAAAATATAGTTTTAGGTATATATTTTTCTCATTTCACTTCACCAACTTAGACTATTGTATTATGGTCCATCACATAAAATTCAGATTAATAAAACATTGAACTTAAGGCTGTAATGTAACCAAATAGGTAAAAAGTCAAGGGGGGTGAATACTTTTGCAAGGCACTGTATGTTACAAATATCACATGTGAGAGCAAGTGGGGTTGTTGTGCTCGGGTGCTCTTGATAGTGTTAATGTCAATAGTGTGAATAAAGTTATTACCCCGCCTCTTCCGCTATGATTATGGAGCTGAGAAGCACAGTACATGTGTCTGCTGTTTTTTCTCTGCCTTAAAATGCAGCTGACAATACCTGATGGGTCAGCTGGGTCCTTTAAGAGGGCAAAAATAAATTAGTGACTTTAAGTGATTTACCCCTCCTAAATTTATTTAATTTGTTTTTATGTCACTACCTGTGATGTCATTTTTTTATTGCCACACATATATAATTAATTATGAAAATTATAATGGCTTTTATTTTTTTCCAAGAAAGGTGGCACACCTACGTTAATTTAAGATGTAGATAAAGAAAAGATTAGAGGAAAATAATCCTGGGATTCTGGAGATATTCATAAGCCATTCAACATAGGTAATGTAGACAAAAACACCATGGTGGCGTTATTTTCCAATATAAGAACCTTTAACGTCATTTTATATTATAAAACAGAATTTTACCATTGCCCTTTGTGGTAGAAGATTAATTTTAGGTGGCTTTACAAGGACAATTTGCTGGCAAAACAACATAAACAAGGTGATGGTGTATTTTGTTCCACTAAATTGACTGTAAAAAATGCAATTTATCAACAAAATTAGGAAATAACTAGTCCTTGTCCTTTTTTTTTTCAATTTATAGTTTTTATTGAGTTATTATACGCTGTACATAACCAAATCAATATATAAGAGCATTGAAGTGTACAATGGTAAACATATAATACAGGGTTTGTGCTTAGTACAACATAACATGGCACTTGTCATCTGTCTACTGGCACTTAAGGTGCTGTTCGTATGTAACATTAAACATTGAGTATCTATGGTGCAAGTTAGCATGCTGCAAGCTAGTGTAATGCCTCCAGGGAGAAATATCTAAGGACCAGGATATAATCCTAATTACAAGGTAACGGGGTAACGGGGAAACAGCTAAGGTCCAGGTGTCCTGTATGGCAGAAGGTTTAGATTATAGACTGGATCTTCGGTGGGGATTATCGCCTGGAGGGTGCTCTCCCAGTCAGTCTCGGGAGTCCTTGTATGGTGCTGTTCCTCAGTCCACCACTTTGGTGTAGTTTGGTAGTAGGCTCTGGTTGTGATGGGGTCTGCAGACCTAGATCCCTGAAGAATGCCTCTGGATCATCCGCCGATGTCAAAGTATGGAGTTCTTCTCCATGTGTGGCCACAATAGACCCTTCCAATCCCCATCTGTATTTAATGGAACTGTCTCTGAGTCTTTTAGCTGCTGGTGCCAATTTCCTTCTTTCCACCAGGACAGAGAAGGGGATGTCACCATATACAGCGACCGTGCAGCCATCAAAGGATATAGGTCCCTGAGCTCTGGAGTAGTTTAGTATAGCATTCCTCACTGCTACATCTCATGTAACTGCAGTAGTGTCTCTGGGGGCTCCTTCTGGCACCACAGCGGATTTGCGCACTCAAAATGCTGACTTGATCTGTGGGGGGTCCATGCTCCCCCTGATACCCACAGTGACAATCAGGCTCTGTGTGAATTGCAGCAGACTCTCTCCGCCGACCGTCTCAGGGATCCCTCTGAGGTGTATGTTGCGGCGCCTATGGTGCGTTTTCAGCGTGTTTACTGCTCGGCTGAGCCGCTGTACTTGGGAGGAAAGGGCTTCAGTTTGCAAGTTGGCATCCCGCAGTGGTCTGTCTCTGGCAGTCTCCCGCTCCTCCACCGCTCGCACTTTCTGGTGGACAACCCCCAACTCAGCCTGAACTTCTTGCGCCCCATTGTGTCTACTTGTAGGGGGGTAATGATGTCTCGGCTAAAGATTAGTTTTTCTGTGGTTAAAGTCTAGTTCTTGTAGTCTGGAAGCGGAGCCTCACAGCAAGACGTCTGCTCTGTTTCTCTGTTGGCCACGCCGCTCACACTCATTTAAAGGATTACTCCATGCACTATGACCACTGATTTGAAGTGGACATAGTGCTTGGAGTCTGTGTGTGCAGCATTTTAGTTTGAAACACTGTGCATATAGAGTGGTTTCTTCCAGAGGTTTAACTTCACCTCCAACAGTATCATTAGCCAGTCTGGGGCAAGCCTGGTGCTGGCTAATGTTAAATCTGTGCATTTAAGGCATCGTTCATCAGCACGTTTATGCTGGTGACAGATGACCAACGGCAGAACATTCTTCCATTCTGTGCCACCCAAGGCCTTCTCTCAGCAAATCCTTCTGGGACAAGCCTCTGTCTGCAGTGAGGGGGAGTGACAGCAGTGAAGAAAGATTGGGCTTTATGGAGAACTTGGCCTAGAAAAAAAACGGTCTACCCTTCAATTAATCCCTTTTTTTATATAAATATTGTATATAACAAAAACTTTATGATAAGGTCTTTTTTAAATAAATATATGGAGCTATGTAGGTGAGTGTGATCACTTGGAGTGCTCTTAAACATTGATCTAGTTTTTTGTGCAAGTAATCAAATAATACTCCTACATTTCCTCTAGGAATTGGAATGTTATCAGCAACTGTATCCTAATAGTGAATTCACCTAATAAGTAATATTATAAATGTTCTAAAAATAAGGACAAGGTGACTATGTTCAGTCAATTAGGAATATGAATACGTAACACTGTAGGACACAACTTGGCCAGACATTTCAGTCATCATGATCACGCATAAAATGTGACCCAGGAGAACAGAAATAGATGTGCCATGTTATTTAAGTAGATGTAATCTAAACTACCATGAGAAATTGTTTGTCAATTCATAAGTGATAGAGCAAATTGTACATTTCTCCATCTAGTGTATTATATATGCATTTCAAGAGCTACTGATTTCACAATTGGCCATGGACCTGGAATTCAAGTCAACTGTTAACTTTACTGTCCTCAGCTGTAATGTAAAAGAAGAAGATGTATCCAAAAGGGAATCCTGCAGTTTGTTCTGGGACGACCTCACTATGGATATCAGACCAGAGGAAAGGTACACAACAGAACTGTACTTAACCTTGTCAATAGAATTCCTTATACTACGAACATAAAAGTATAGATTGTATGTTGTAGCATGCGCTTCCATTTAGGAATTAATTCAATTTACACTATATTTACAGTTGAGTTTGTAATTCATCAGTTTGTAATTCAGTATGTAGCATCTTAGCTACTATGATTCACTGAAGTTTTGCCTTCAACTCATCATATATTTTTAGTAAAGACTCAAAATGCTATGTTATATGTTTTGCATGGACACAGTATATGATTACACAGGTGGTGTCATCACTCACCTTTGTGTTTGAGTTTATACTTTTTTTTATGGGATCTCCTTAGTAAACTGTCATTTAATGTCATAAAATATAATATAGTTATTTAATAAATATATCATGCTGTAAGTTATATATATATACTGGATAAAAAAAATTACTGAATTCATCTTTGATAGGTGTTTTTTTTTTATTCACTATTTATTATCAGACCACTACTACTTTAAAGGCAGTATAAATGTGTTTTTATATTAAACAGTAGGGATATAATTCTCAAACCAAATCAAAACATAAAGCAAAAAAAAGTATGTACCAATAAATGCAATCCGTATATATCACGTTATAAGACAGGTATAAGGTTTCGTGGAAGGAGCCCAAAAATGCAGCTGGGACAGAACAGTAATAGCGAGGTACAGATAGGGATCAAGCAAAGATGTGGTCTGGAAAGGCAAAGGACAGGACAGACGGCACAAGTTTGTGAATTGTTAATCAAAATGGGTCAAACAACAGGAGACAATAAAGCAGGATAACAACACAGATGTGAACACAGTTCAACTGAGCGGAGAGGTCGGAGAGACTAGCTGTTAAATAATGAAGAAGAGGCATGCCTGCTCCACGTCATCCCTGAGTCTCAGATACACTGGTATAGCCCAGTCTCTTTTAAAGGACTGCAGCTCCAGGGTGCGCACGTTTAGAGAAGGCGTGTTCCCCCATGACTCAGCCCACCCGCCATGCCATATTGGAGGAGGGCATCCTAACCGCTCTGCGGAAAAGGGTCACAAGGATACTCATGACATCAGGGAAGATGCTTGCTCCTAACCTGCAGCAATGAATGGACCGAGTCAGTTCATACCAGAGATGCGTGCCATTGCGACAATAGGCACATGTGGAAATTGCTGCACATATGCTTTTTTTTGTTCAGAGAGGAAGGGAGACTGAATAAAAAGATAAGCAAAATTTATTTGTAGGTTCAGGGAAGGGATCTGGCATTTAGGGGGATTAATGAACATTCAAAACATTAAAAGTGAATATTCTTTTTTTATTGTTGGAGTTTCTTTAAGTTACAAATATTCTAGTTTTAGGATGACGGTGGCAGGACTTAGTGATTGACTAAAAGTAGGAGTGAAATATAGAGTAAAGTAAAAAAAAAAGCCAAAATTACATATTTCTGCAGCCGGATTAGTGGTTGCACCATTGAATAAAAAAAATGGAGATTGTAAAAGGAGTATTCCACACTTCTCATGTTAAGGGTAGAGGATAAACCGCATTGTACAGATGTTTATGGGAACAGACCCAATCCAACAGACGGAGCTTCTTCTGTGCAGTATTCTCTTGGAGGATAAACATTTTTTTATTTATAAAAATGTGTGAACAGGAAGGATACATTGAGATTTCTCTTGTTTTCAAGTATATTTAACTATATATTTATTTATTTTACTTCTGCATTTTTGTTATAATGCAGTATCTATAAAATGAATTAAAGAAATGGGATTATTGTTACCCATTTTTTCCTTCAAGATTAAAATCTGAAAATAACAGTGCCATGGTTCTGAAAGGTATGAAGATAAAGCAGATGGTCTATAGTGTCAAAAATGGTTGGAATGTCAAAAGGAATTAGTAGAGTGGTGACCTACAAAATATGACCTTGTTTTCATCAGCTATCTTGAGTGTCAATCAGAAAGGCTCAACTACAGCAGTAATATCATGGCATTTGTATTATTTGCCATTTTCTGGCCTGATGCAACCTTAGCACCAAGCTTCTCTGTAGTTGATGTTTTCAGCATGTTATATTTAGATTAGGCAACTGATGCAATATTAGTGATAACGTAAACAGCGGGTTACTTAACATTTGCCTTCTGCTATGAAGACATTTATATTTTCTGAGAAGGGATGGTGCAGCTATAATGAATATTAATTGTCTAAATGACTGGATAATTACAGATGCTGTTGACATGTATGTATAGTTTAGTGCAATAAAAGTTGATATTTACATAGTTACATAGCTGAAAAGAGACTTGCGTCCATCAAGTTCAGCCTTCCTCACATTTGTTTAATGCTGTTGATCCAAAAGAAGGCAAAAAAACCCAGTTTGAAGCACAATTTTGCAACAAGCTAGGAAAAAAATTCCTTCTTGACCCCAGAATGGCAGTCAGATTTATCCTTGGATCAAGCAGTAATCCAAGAAAATATTTGTAACAAAAACAGAGAATATGAAAACTCTGGGAATGAACAAAAGTTTAGAGGTACTCAGTAGCTTTCCCTTCATTAAATCCCTGCTCAGGTCTCAAAATAGTTTTTTCTCACTTGTGCCATTACAGAGAGGACCAGTTCCAGGGCACATCAGACTAAATTCACCCTAAAGGGCAGCCCAGAACCAAAATGCTGGCAAATTCTCTCTGCGCTAGAGATACAGCAACCCCGGACAATCTTTTCAGCCTTCTTCAGGCCTCATCAGCAAGGTGTAGATGCAGAGGCGTAACTAGAAACCATGGGGCGCCGGTGCGAAAATTGCCCTTGCCCCCCCCAATATATTTCTCCCCTCCCCCAGTCCCTCCATGTGTCACACTCATGCCCCTCAATGTGTCTCATTCATATTAACACACAGTGACATACATGCAGATACACACACGGACACACATACACACACGCAAATGCAGACACACAAACCAGCACACAGATACATATATATACACAGACACACATGCAGATATACAGACACACACTGACACACATGCGGATACACAGACACACATACAGACAGATATACAGACACACATACAGACAGATACACAAACACTTAAGGACAAACATTAAAATACACAGAATGACACTCTTACAGATACTAACAGTGGCACACATACAGATACACAGGGCACACACTGACATACAGATACACAGACATACAGTGACACAAACACACACATACATAAACAGACACACAAATACAGAGGCACACACACACATACAGAGACACACATACATACAGACACACATACATAAACACACACACACATTAATACAGAGACACACACACAAACAAACACAAAGAGACACACACACAGACACTCACACACACACACACAATCAGTGGCGTACACATGACCCATGGTGCCCCGGTGCGAAAATTGATCTGTGGGCCCCCCGCGCGCGCGGGCCGGACCGCAACAAATGGCGGTGGGCACCTGGTCGCAGGGGTTACAGGGCTGCGACCCCTGCGACCGCGGTATGTACGCCAGTGCATGCAGAAGCACACACACTTAAAGGACCACTCTAGGCACCCAGACCACTTCAGCTTAATGAAGTGGTCTGGGTGCCAGGTCCAGCTAGGGTTAACCCATTTTTTCATAAACACAGCAGTTTCAGAGAAACTGCTATGTTTATGAATGGGTTAAGCCTTCCCCTATTTCCTCTAGCGGCTGTCTCATTGACAGCCGCTAGAGGCGCTTGCGTGCTTCTCACTGTGATTTTCACAGTGAGAGCACGCCAGCGTCCATAGGAAAGCATTATGAATGCTTTCCTATGTGACCGGCTGAATGCGCCACAGAAGCCTTGCCGCTACAGGCGCATAAACACGGGGAGGAGAAGAGGAGGATCGGAGGAGGATCGAGGAGGATCGAGGAGGAGAGAGTTCTCCCACCCAGCTGGAAAAAGGTAAGTTTTTACCCTTTCCAGAGCTAAGGGAGGGGGCCCCAGTGGTAGCACCTCTGTGATGGCAGTGCCAGGAAAACGAGTATGTTTTCTTGGCACCAGTGGTCCTTTTAAAGGACCACTACAGACACCTAGATCACATCAGCTCAATGAAGTGGTCTGGGTGCCAGGTCCCTCTAGTTTTAACCCTGCAGCTGAAAACATAGCAGTTTCACTGAGGGTTAATCCAGTCTCTAGTGGCTGTATCACTGACAGCCGCTAGAGGAGCACACTGAACGTCCATAGGAAAGCATTGAGTAATGCTTTCCTATGGGCGGTTTGAATGCGTGCGCGGTCGCATTTGGAGCTGAGAGGCTGAGGGATCCCAGCGCCAAGGGAGTCCGGCGCTGGAGAAAGGTAAGTGCTGAAGACACACACACTCTCACTTACAGACGCATACACACTAGCTAACAGACACACACATTTACTGACAGAGACACAGTCAGCGACAGACATACATACACACTCACTTACAAAACATACACTCTCTTTGACAAACACACACTCACTAACAGACATCAAACAGACTCACTAACACACACACACACACACTCTGTAAGACACACACAGTAACACACTCACTGACACTCACTAGCAGACACACACACTCACACTCACTCTAACACTCACTAGCAGACACACACACTAACACTCACTCTAACACTCACACACACTAACACTCACTAGCAGACACACACACTAACACTAACACTCACACTGACACACACACTAACACTCCCACTAACACTCACTAGCAGACACACACTAACACTCACACACACTAACACTCACTAGCAGACACACACACTAACACTCACACACACTAACACTGACTAGCAGACACACACTAACACTCACACACACTAACACTCACACACACTAACACTCACTCTAACACTCACACACACTAACACTCACTAGCAGACACACACTAACACTCACACTCACTAACACTCACTCTAACACTCACACACACACTAACACTCACTCTAACACTCACACACACTCAAACACTAACACTATTTTTTTTTTTTAATTTAATCCCCCCAGCCTCCTTACCTTTTGGAGTGCTGGGGGGATTCCCTGGGGTCCAGTGGTGCTGCTGACCCCAGGCAGGCGGGTGGCCGGTCGGACAGGCGGGCGCGCGAGGGAGCACTCACTGCTTCCTCTTCAGCTCCCTCGCGCGCCGCGTAGGGATGCCGGAGCCGGAAGATGATGTCAGTGAGTGCTCCCTCGCGCGCCCGCCTGTCCAACCGGCCACCCGCCTGCCTGGGGTCAGCAGGGCCAGCCTCGGGGGGGCCCTGGGGTGGTCGGCTCCTGGGCCCTCCAGGGGAAGAGGCTGGCCCAGTGGCTACATACCGGGTCGCAGGGGCGGCCGGGCCCCCTGGTGGGCCGGGCCCAGTCGCAGCCGCGACCCCTGCGACCCTGGTATGTACGCCACTGCACACAATCACACATGCACAATAATTTAGCCACCATCCTGTTTCCTACCTTTTAGATGTAGGAGAGTGTTTTCTCTTGGGTCCAGTGGCTCAGGCTGATGGGAGTCACAGTTCCCATTCTGACTCCCTCCTCTCCTTCTCTTCCTCCTGCACGGGCTGGGAACACGTGATCCCAGCGGCTCTACTGCATGGGCGGGGGCAGTGAGCACAGGGTCCACTTTTGGATTACCCTTTTCAACTTGGGGAGAGCCAAAATAATGCATTGCAACAAAACAGAGAATGTGAGAACTCTGAGAACGGACAAAAGCTTAGAGGAAAACTAGCTTGCCCTTTGGTAAATCCCCACTTAGGTCTCAAAATATTTTTTTTCACACTTGTGCCATTAGAGAGAACCAGTTCCAGGGCATATCACACTAAAACCAACCATAAGTGCAGTCCAGAAGCGAAATACCGTCAGGTTCTCTCTGAGCTGAGCAGAATTGGTCTCTCCCCAAGTTAAAGGGGTAAACTAGATGTGGACCCCATGCTCACTGTGCCTACAGAGGTATCAGCTACACCTCAATGACAAGGCCCAAAGAAGGCCGAAATGATTGTCTGGGGTTGCTGTGTCTCTTGTGCAGAGAGAACTTGCCGGCATTTTGGTTCTGGATTGCCCTTATGGGTGGTCTCAGTCTGATATGCTTCGGAATATGTTCTATCTGTAATGGCACAAGTGAGCAAAACATTTTTTTTTTTTTTTTACCTGAGCGGGAATTTATCGAAGGGCAAGCTACTGAGTTTCTGTAAGCTTTGTCCATTCTCAGAATTTGCATTTTTTTTTTGTTTCTATGTATAAAATAATGCATAAGATCTGTATTCTGCAAGTTATATTGCATATCAGTATTAGACATGTGCACTAGTGAAATTTTCATTTCGTACGAATGATTTCGTACTAAATAAAAATTTCATTCGGCAATCCCGAATTTCGGCCGCAAACCATTTGTTTTCGAACAAAATTTGTTAAAAAAAGAATTTGTTTTCACCCATTAGGACGAAAACAGCACTGCGCATGTGCCCCCCCAAAAAAACAAGGATGGAGCCGGCAGCGCTACCCGCTCCCTCCTTGTGAAATCATTTCTACCCCCCCTGCATTAAAACCTATGGGGGTCACTATGATGAAATCCTCCAGCAGTGGCATGCTGCGAGTAGGGGCGTTTCACCTAAACAGCGAGCAGCCACTGGGTGCTTGCTGTCATTTATAACTAAATATAAATCAGTATAGGGATCACTATGAAGAAAAGGGAGATTAAATCCTCCTGCATGCCCTACCTGTGCCAAGTCCCCCCATGTAGTAGGGGCATGTCACCTAAACAGCGAGCAGCCAGTGGCTGCTTGCTGTCATTTAAAACTGGATATAAAAATGAGTATCTTATATAGAAGTGATAGAGAGCTATGGTAAGAGTACGTGTGACCAAAAGTTATAGCAAAAACTATAACAATGTTGCAATATGAAAAAGTAGCTATTATGATCAAAATAGCTACTTTTTAAACGTACTCTTACCATGCTCTTTACACTTCTACACAAGATACATTTATATCCAATGACAGTGAACAGCCAGTGGCTATGTCCCCCATATTGATAAAAGGGAGGTTAAATACTCCCGCATGCCCCTACCTTCAGCACAGGTCCCCCCGTTCCCCCATCGTGGGGAACACAAATAACTAAAATAGAGGGGACATAATGCCCCCCCTTGCCTGTGGGTTACCGGTGGGGGCTATTAATATAAACTGTGGGACCTAATGTCCCCCCTGGTCCCTACCCATGCGCGGCGGGTGGGGACCCTAATTAAATCAAGGGTAGACCTAATGTCCACCCTGGACCCCACCCATGGGCAGTGGGTGGGGACCCTAAATAAATAAATAATGGGGGGCACCTAATGTCCCCACCAGGTCCCCACCCATGACAGGTGGGTGGGGACCCTAATTAAATAAATAATTGGGGGGGCCATATGTCCCTCCCAGGTCCCCACCCATGAGCGTCAGGTGGAGATCCTAATTAATTAAAGGGGGGACCCAAAGTCCCCCCTGGTCCCTGCCCATGAGGGTTGAAAGCCTAATTAAATAAATAAAGGGGGGGACCTAATGTCCCCTCCAGGTCCCCACCCATGACAGGCAGGTGAGGACCCCGATTAAATAAATAATGGGGGGGACCTAATGTCCCCACCCATGAGCGGTGGGTGGGGTCTCTAATTAATTAAAGGGGGGACCTAATGTCCCCCTGGCCCCTACCCATTCTTTTTTTAAAGCAACCAGAGGGTTATGAGTCAAATTACACAGCATTGGAAAATTCCAAAGAACTTTCCCACGCTGTGTATAATGCACTCTGATTGGTTGGATTTCAAGCCAACCAATCAGAGTGCTGTGACAGGTAAATGCAGAGACTTACCTGTCAGTCTCTTCATTTACCTGTCAGAGTACTCTGATTGGTTGGCTTAAACCAACCAATCAGAGTGTTCTGAGAATAATTGCAGGGTGTGGGAAGGCTTTATAAGCCATTTCCTGCCCTGCGGAGCTCATTCTGTGCCATGCCCTCGCTGGGTGAAGAAGGATTATTTTTTTAGAGTCTGGATTTTCCAGGTCTTTTTTTACTTTAACAGTTGCGACGGGTATTTTGGATTTTTATTTGGTCGTTTTTGGGGCTGAAGAAAGAAAGAAAAGAAAGGAAGAAGACAACTAATGGTAAGTATGAAATTTTATTTTACATGGTTAGTTTATTGGCACCCCCTCACTATTAGGGTGAGGGGGTAGGTAGGGTATTTTTATTGGGGGGGAGAGTGACTAGGCTTGGGCCACCTAGGCACTTTATTATTTGTGATCCCTACCTGCCGGTCATGGGTTGGGATATTAGGTCCCCCCCATTATTTATTTATTTAGGGTCCCCATCCACCGCTCATGGGTAGGGACCAGGGGGGACATTAGATCCCCCTTTAATTAATTAGGAATTAATATTATTACAAGGAGGGAGCTGGTAGCGATGCCGGCTCCCTCCTTGTTTTTTTTTTTTTTTGCGCATGCGCAGTGTTATTTTCTCCATGCTGTGGGGTTTAATTCCTCTGCAGCACAGAGTCTCTTAAACGAATTAAACAAAATGAAAAGGTAATGCATTCGGCATTTGCCCTTTCGTTTATATTTAGTATGTAGGGCTTTCGTTTACGTTTTAGTAAACGAATACGAAAAAAACCAAATTTTCGGACGAATTCGTATTTGTACAAAAACGAATGCACATGTCTAATCAGTAGAAAAACATTTAAATATTAGATTGAGACATAGCAACATCAAGTAAGAAATGTGAATAAGTACAGGGCTCAGGTGAAAATGGGAAATGTAATGTGTTTTTTTGTTGTTGTTTTTTGGCAGGGTGACATTATCTGAAAGTGACACTGTGCTCCAACAAGGATATGAAAAGAAAGAGCAAACCATTTTCATAATACAACGATCTCCTCTTCAAACCATCACAATTGGCAGATTTGGAGGGGAAATGCAAAATTACCATCTGCCTTATATGACTGTGCTCCCTGTTCCTCTGTTCACGCCAAAAAACAGAATCAAAACACAACCCCCAGAAGAAACTCCATCCGTGATACAAATGACTCATCTGAATGGGCCCTGTGCTGCAAAAAGAGAAGTCACAGGGCTTGTTAGCAATTTGCCTCAGGTTATTCAACCAAATAAGCTCCCTGTAAGATTCTCGAGTTTAATATCTCCACCACCAAATTTACATGACACTACTGGGCATTAGTGCAGTTACTAAACTGCATGAGCTAGTAGACTTGGTACTCAAAAGCATCATTGGGCCCTTTTACTATACCTGTGTTATATGCCATTATACAAAATAAACAATGTTTTCCCTAAACACTTTTAGACACCCCAGAGGATCTCAACGACACATCGGAAGGTCTGCATGACCCGCACAATAACTTGCACACAGTGGTTTAGACTCTTTCCTACTGTGCCCATTACTTCTTCAGACAGTGTTCTTTGAGAGAGTACTGTGGCAGGAACTTATGGCAAGTTTACCATTAAAGTGGCACTGTCACTTTCGAGTTGTTGTTTTTTGTTTTTTTTTATAAAAACAACATAAAGATAGAATCTTTATAAAAATAAATTTTTAAAAACCCTCATAAATACTACAACACACCTGAAAAATATACATAAGAAAAGGTAGGAACTACTTTGCCTAATGTGCTGCGCTAATTTTTACAGCTTCAGCACTCTTCAATTACTATTATTGGCTAAATAGAACAGGCATTTAATTTAAAGTGCAAAAGATCGTTTCCCTGAAAATAAGACACCCCCGAAAATAAGCCCTAGCTTAATTTTAGGGGATGCTCGTAATATAAGCCCTACCCTGAAATAAGCCCCAGTCGCTAGTTTGCTAATCTATGTTCGGGTAAGTTTTTCCAAGCACAGATTCGCATTATTCCATTCGCAAGTAAACTAATCTATGTTCTGAGACGGTCTCCCAAAAATAGATTTGCAGGATTCCATGCACTATTGAACTGTTCTTTTTTCGGGGTAATTCCCCCAAACGTAGACCTGCTTTCTAGCGCATGCTTGAAATCGTTTCCCCCCGAAATAAGACATCCCCTGAAAATAAGCACTAGTGTGTTTTTAGGGAGAAAAATGTATATAAGACCAGGTCTTATTTTCGGGAAACACGGTATATATAAAGGGGTCTGCAGTCCTACATTTTGTACTCCTGTGTGTTTACAAAAGTACATCATGGATGCAGGCACCTGTCAGATGAAGCCACCAGGAGCTCAACATGGAGTCAAGGAGGAACATGATGGTGCCAACGAGAGAGAAACTCAGGTTAGTATGTCTATCTTCCCTCGTCTGCCAACTGGAAAGTGGACACCTTGCTTAGAGTTCTTTGAAAAGAGTGACAGTTTATGATGGCATAGCTCTCTATACTTATATGGAAAAATAGGGGTTTGGTTGCACTCACCAGAACATGCTTAAATGGGTGCTGCTGGGGGCCAATACATACAGTAAAACATGAAAATACAGCGCACTACCTATCTACTAAACAGCTACTTTGGTGATTATTTTGTAAGTTTTATTAAAAACACCTAATCTTGGCAACAAATAATGGGGATTTAGTTACATTATATGATCATATATTGCATAAGCCTGCCACAACATCAATGTACCCCATCTTTCGCAGGTCCTACTCTAACTGCCAACTGTCTGCTAAATGAGCTACTCACTTAGGGAAATCCTCCCATCTCAAGTTCTCTGCAGTACAAGGCCAAATAGGATCCTGGGATGAGGCACCTGTGACAGGGAGGGGTGCAGAACCAAGGAGCTGGCTAGACTGCTAAATATATATATATATGAAAAAACAGGGGTTTGGTTGCACTCACCAGAACATGCTTAAATGGGATTGTGCTGGGGGCCAATACATACAGTAAAACATGAAAATCCAGCGCACTCCCTATCTACTAAACAGCTACTTTAGTGCTGTTTTTGTAAGTTTTATTAAAAACACCTAATCTAGGCAAAATAATTCCCCAAGGATTTCCCCCTAGTGAGTAGCTCATTTAGCAGACAGTTGGCAGTTAGAGTAGGACTTGATGTGTGGACTTGTGTAAAAGCAATTTCTTCAGACTGGTAACATATTTTAAAATTGCCAATAAGATGAAACTACTTAATGTTTCTAATGGGAAAAAAGGCTTTATGGTAAATAAACAAACCCAGTATAACATGCAGGTTGCTGTTGCGGTCTGGATGCTGTACTATGCCATAATACCACCAGCACGCCATGCTCTGCTCATAACACGTAGCTTAGACAGTCACCATGCTCTGTGTATTTAGTTATGACATGACCTGTATTCAACATATAATACCGAACTTGCACATTGTAATTTTATCGCATTATGCAAGCTACATCAAAATTAGACTTTTAATAAAATGCTTTGAAAGAAAAGGCAAAAACACACCACAAGAGTAACCACAAAATGGAGAATACTAAGAGATCGACACAGCAGGGAAAGCATGATGAGATTTGGACAAAGAAAGAAAATTAAGCTTATTAATGGGCACAGAACAGCAAAACCCTGGAAGAGTCTGCATAGAAGTGAAAAGATGTTGTTTATTAAGGAAAATTGAGCAATCAGTTTCTAGAAAATTACTTTAGGCCAGTTTTTTTCCCCACACTTGGTCTCCTGGTTAAGAGTACATAGGGATTAGGAAACAACCAGGCAAAATACAAAATAGGAATCAGAAGTGAAAAACAATACTTTTTGGGAAAGTAACAGAAAACAAAAGAAAGACGTGAAAACATTTTGAAGAGGAAACTGCAATTAAAAATGTCTTCATTTAATATTTTAAAGCCCTTCACAAACATGATTAACAATTGTGTTAATTGATATCACACGATATTAAACCATCTAATGCATGTTTGGAAATTACATGATTTTGCTATTACATGACGAAAAGTCATAATTTTATTAAAAACACGGAGGCGAGTATTGCATATCCCTTTCTTTACTGTCCACCAATAGCAGCAAAGAATACAAACAGAGTGAAAAAAAAAAAATAATGAACATGCAGTAACATAGGCCCCTCCCCGCTCAGGTCCCAGAATAACAGGCAGCACTTCCCTTCCATTTCCCTCTTTCTGAAGATGCGACCAAGGTAAAATGTCCAGAACGAGAGTAGTGTGAGAACAAAGTCCCAAGGCAATAACTTAAAACTGAAGAGGGTAGAACATCAATAACTGGGAAGCTTGACCATAGGAGTCATGGGACCATCGGATAACAGCGGGAGGAGTCCTTCTAAACTGAACAACTGCTTTCCGTCTTGCCGGATTAAGCTGTGAAAACATAAAGGAACAGGAGCCGACAGGTTAAAGTCGATACTTGTAACTAGTTTCAAGGTTACACGGGTGAGAAAATAACCCACATATGCACAGTCCCACAAAACAACTGATATACTCAACATTACAGAAACATCATTGTCTAAGTATGGCCCCACTTACCGTACTGAACCATAATATGTGGTATATTGTAGTATGAGTAATTCTGGGAGGGAAATTATTATTATTACTACAACTGTGTAAGAACAAAAAAGGGTGGGACAATACTCGCCTCCGTGTCTTTAATAAAATCATGACTTTTCGTCATGTAATAGCAAAATCATGTAATTTTATAACAAGACACGGAGGCTCATATTGCAAGAATGTATGTGGGGCCGGCCGAAAGTAAAATTCTCGGAATGTAGACTTCCTAGACCAGTCAGCCATCCTCATAATGTCTTCCAGGCGTGCGCCTGCCGACATCATAGAAGAGGCTGATGCCCCCCTGACCGAATGGGCGCCAAATATCGTGGTATCAATACCTGCTTGGGACAACAGCCATTTCACCCATCGTGACAAGGTAGTGCTAGAAACCGGTTGAAAAGGAGGACGGAACGATAAAAACAACTGAGGAGAGACGGTAGAGCGATGTGGGTTGGTGCAAGTCTTGTATTCGCGAAGGCAGGCCACTGGGCATAGTGAAGGAGAGGTAGAGAAACTAGGGTAGGATACTGATTTGATGGAAGTCTTAGTCCGTCTGCTGATGTTGAAAGTTACCCCGTCCGGGGTATATGACTTGGCATCGAAGTCCAGTGCTCTGACATCCGAAACCCTCTTGCATGAGACGAGGCAGAGCAGGCAAACCAATTTGGTAGATAGCTGTTTGAGGGAGAGTCCTGAGTTAGCGGGCCAGGATGAGAGAAAAGCCAATACGACCGAGATGTCCCAGGTGGTGGAGTAGCGGGGCCTGGGTGGTCGTGAAAATCGAGAACCCTTGAGGAGTCGGCACACTAAGGGGTGCTGTCCCGCAGGGCAGCCATTGAAGCCTTGGTGAATCGCCGATATAGCAGATCGGTAAAGGTTGATAGTCCTGTAAGCCTTTCCAGCCTCGAAGAGAGACGTCAGGAACTGCAGGACCATTGTTACAGAGGCCGAAACTGGATCCGCGTTCCTAGCCATGCATCAGCCAGCCCAAGCTCGCCAAGCTGACCCATATGCCCGTCTAGTGCCGGGAGCCCATGCTGCTGCCAATAGGCATCTAGTCGTGTCCGAAACCCCTTGGATTACCCAGGGTCCCCGGAGATCCGCCATGCCAGGAGTGGGAGAGAGCCTTCTAACCGGAGGGGGTGATATCGTCCCGTCGGGTCCTGCAGTAAGTTGTGGTGTCCCGGTAGTAGTCGGGGATAGTCTAACGTCATCTCGAGCATTTGGGGGAACCACAACTGCGTTTCCCAAAACGGGGTGACCATGACCACTTCTGCCCGGTGTTTGCGGGTCTGTAGGAGTGAGCGCGGGATCATGGAAAACAGAGGAAAGGCATATAGGAGGCCACCGTTCCAGTCTTGTAGGAAGGCGTCCACTGCCTCCGCCATTGGATCTGGCCTCCAGCTGAAGAAGCGTGGGAGTTGGGCGTTGAGCCGGGAAGCGAAAAGGTCTATGGTAAATGGTCCCCAGAGATACGATAGGTTGGAGAACACCTCCTTGGACAATCTCCAGTCGCTGGTGTCTGAGAGATAACGTGAACCCCAGTCCGCCTGGACATTGTGCAGACCAGGTAGGTATTCCGCGTAGACCATCAGGTTCCGTTCCAGGCAGAATTCCCAAAAGTCTTTCGCCAGTCTGGCCAGGACTGCCGACTGTGTACCACCCAGATGGTTGACATATCTCACCGCCGAGACATTGTCCATGCGGAGCCGAATACATGATAGGGCTCGGTCCCT